CTTGCCCCTAAAACACATAGCACAGCTTTTAATGTAAAGGGAAGTTAGATCGAATTATTCACATATATACAACATACTTAGATAACAGAAACATTACACAGGAGGGAAGCTCCCAATGAAAATAAAAAATTAACTACATCCCTTGTTGGTAATGGCATAATCAGTAAAAGATAAAATATGGGAAAACCTAAATGTTCAACAGTAGAAGATGTAGACTACTATATAGTCATTTAAATAATTGTGCACAATCTATCTTCTGCCTATATGGTTGACTCCTAGTTGAAAATCAGGCCTTTAGAAGTCACTATGCTCCTGAAAGAACTAACTTCTAGAACTTAAAGGCACTGACGGGGGAGCCTAGGATCTGATGACTGTAAAGTTCTCTGGAAAATCCTGCTATATCGCGACTCATCTGTTGCCTGTGGGGGATCTCTAGGGCTCCTCTCATTCCCACGACCTACTTTGTTTTCCGAAGACAACTCCTAGACTGGAGTAGAGAGGCTGGTGTGCAGAACTCCTTTGTTTTCCACAGTCTATGGCTGGACTGGAAAAGAAGCGGCTGTTGCAGGTGTTGGAGAGAGATTCCTGGGGGCTTCTGAATCCCTTTGTCTGCAGTTGCTATGAAACATTAGAACGGTGGGAGGAGGTCCTTTATTTCCTACAGCTCCTTGTTTGAAAAGGGCTTTCTGCAGGTGAGAGCAGCTGATGCTTTAGTGGTGATATTCTGATCTGGAGTCTCTTCTGCTTCCCCAGGGTGAATTCTCTTCACAAATTAAAAAAAAAAAAAAGTGTCTATTGCTACATCTTGAGTGTTCAGAATTGGGAAGAGATATATAGAGCACAGAACAATGAGCCAATGAACTGACTGCAATCAGGGGGCAAGGTGTGAAACCTCATCTACCACAGCTTCTGAGACAACAAAGGGAAGAGATGAGAGAAAAAGCAGAGAAAATGAGGTGGGCAATGGCTATGGGCAGCTGAAGAACCTCGCAGGTTCAATGACTGCACTTTCTGGGTTAAATATTGGTGTTCTGAGTACGGGGATGAAACTGAACTCTGTTGGAAAATTTGGGATATATGGTTTCCTAATTCTACAAAACTTTAATGGAAAATGAGACAGATTGTGTCCCAAGAAGAAGAAAACCTAGTAGCTGTGCTTGGGAAATCTCGAGGAAGTTGAAAAATAAACTGACAATTTGAGAAATCTGAGAAAACTGGAATTTGAAGAGAGATGTTAAAATTATTTTTAACTAAGAAATGTTTATGGTAGAAAAGTTAGAAAATATTAAAAAAAAAACAGAAAGAAAACAAACCATCTGTAATCCCACCACTGCGAAGTAACAACTCCTGGTATTTTGTTATATTTTCTTCTAGGTTTTTTTTTTCAAAGATTTATTTATTTATTTGAGAGAGAGAGAAACACACACACACACACACACACGTGTTGGGGGGGAGGGGCAGAGGGAGAGAGAATCTCAAGCAGACCCCTGTTCCCCGCCCCCAACCCGGCTAAGCTGGAAGCCCAACATGGGACTCAATCCCACAACCCTGAGATCATGACCTGAGCCGAAATTAAGAGTTGGACACTCAGTCGACTGAGCCACTCAGGTGCCCCTTTTCTTCTAGTCTTTTTAAAATTGAATGCATAATTTTTAAAAACTGTAGTAAAATACACCTAACATAAAATTTCTCATTTTACTCAGTTTTTTTTTTTTTAAGATTTATTTATTTATTTGAGAGAGAGAATGAGAAAGAGAGAGCACGAGAGGGGGGAAGGTCAGAGGGAGAAACAGACTCCCCGCTGAGCAGGGAGCCCGATGCGGGACTCGATCCCGGGACTCCAGGATCATGACCTGAGCCGAAGGCAGTCGCTTAACCAACTGAGCCACCCAGGCGCCCTCATTTTACTCAGTTTTAAGTGTGCGGTTCCACGGCATTAAGTAAACTCATACTGTGATGCAAACATCACCACCCTCCATCTCCAGAACTCTTTTCTTCTCAAAACACTGGAACTCTGTACCCATGAATCAGTAACTCCTCATTCTCCCCTCCCTCCAGCCCATGGCAGCCACCATTCTACTGTCTGTCTCGATGATTTTAATTGAACACATAGTTTTTATTTAAAAGTAAAATTATACTGTATATAGTTTTGTGCCCTGCTCTTGTTAATTAATATTACATCCCTCATACCATTAACTAGTCTTGCCAATGTCATTTGCAATATATTCTATATGGATGTTTCTCCCTCTTTTTTTTTATCTTTTTCCTTTAAAACTGTCCATATACATACTCAAACCTAGTTTTGTAAGTGACATTCTGTAGAATGTCTTAAGTGACTCCATAAAATTAACAGCTCTTGAAACCTGTTCCGCAAAACAAAATTAATGCTGCCACATGGTGTCTTCTTCTACTTCAATAACGCTACACTTGTTAGAACAGAAACAAAAGAAAAATACTTACCTAATCTAAGTTAATTTTCTGAGACCATCTTAACATGGTACACATGTATGCCAACATTCTACATTTTTTTCCTAGTATAATTACCTATATAGTAAAAGAGAGGATTATAAAATATAAAGGAACCCACAGGTTCCTATAACACTCTCTTTCCTAGGAGATTTATAAGACTCTTGGCCTCATTTCCACCATTTTTTTTTTTGGACCAAACTCAGACTAAATGCAGAAAAACATGGGGGGTGGTTACTTTTAACCTGAATGCTTACCAAGAAGAAAACTTCTCACTTTGTGACATGAGAATAGGAAAACAGGCCAATCTTCCTTTGGAGGCCCCATCCCACTCCCACAACCCCTTGGCTCATCTGTTAAGGTGTCAATGGGATTTTCTGTGTGGTGTCAGGATCTTTGTGTGGTAGGCACCGCGTCATTCCCTTCCCTGGGTCTGGAGCGCCTCTCCAGAGGGAAAGAGCCAAACTTAAAATTGTGGCAAGGGGAGGTAAAATCCCTGAATCCTAAAAACCTATTTCATCCTAGGGCCTCATTTCCCAACAAGCCAAGCCCTCCCTGGGACCAGGCACTATGAAAGGAAGAGTGTCTTTTTCCTTTAAACCTTAGAAAATACACTCATGCTGAATCAGCCATATTCCGAGCATATTAAAACAGGCCACTGCTAATGGTAGATTTCAGCTACATCTGTCCTTTGATGTGCCAACCTCAAAGTCTTTAGTACCATTGAGGCCTCTCCTCTTACTTGCCAGGGTGGTTGGGGCACCACGCCAATCCAGAGAGATCCATTTCCCTTGAAAGCTGGCTTCGCTCTCTGGGCGTGTTCTGATGGGTCACCACTAGTTCTCCTGGACTTCGGGCTGGCCAACAAAAATGGCTGTGCTTATCACGCCTGCCTCCACATTGTCTCCACTCCTTCACTTCCGCTACCTGGTCGAAATTCCATGGTTCGTGCTGGGGGTTGACTATGAGAGGAGAGTGCAGAGGAGAGCGCCCGTGGTGATGCTCCCTGGAGACCAACCTCTTGCATGTTCCACCCTTCCCACCTCTTCAACCCAGGTTATGGAGTCCAGGGTTCTCACGGGCTTGCTGGAGGCACCCACCCATCCCAGGGGTTCCACTCTTATTACTAACTACCCCACTTCTACTGCCTCACCTCTAATGCATTTCCTATAATTGGGCGTTTGCAAGTGCCTATAAAACAATGGATCTTCCATTAGTAGAAGTTTGGCCTCCAATGCTTTCTCTGGTACCCCTTTCATTGCTTCGGGCTTCAGGAGAACATCTGCAAATGTGCTTTCCCAAGCACTCTCCCTCTGAGACTCTGAGAGTGTTTGGGCTCTTCTGCATTGATCTGGGCTGCAGATAATGATCCCCTAAATCATACATGAGGCACTAGAGTAAATTGAATATGGATGAATCTGTCTGATCTAGAAATTGATTTTGACCAATCAGGGAAGCTAAATTGTAAAGGTTCGATCCAGGGGCAGTTCCTACCCTTCTCAGCTCTTAATCAATTCCTGTTGTCCCTCACTCTGTGTAAGGAATAAATATGTGACCACAGAAAGACTCTGAAATGAGGATATCTATAAGAATTGGGTTTTAAAATGATTTCCTCCTCAGGATGTGGTCTACATGCAAAAAATAAACGGAACAATAGTAAACGGAAGGACAAAGCAAGTAATTAAACTTGATAGCAAGTTTTGCTCCACAAAAGTTGATGGAATTGTTGGTTGGATTTTTTTCCTCTTAAAGAAAAGAAAACAAATTACTGATAGTGAAAAGAAAATGGTCTGATTTGCTGAAAAGTTTGGTTTAGACGACTACTCCGTATAAGGTCAGATGCAAATTTGCCTCTGACTTTCTAATATATAATACCTTTGAATACACTTGTTACTGATTTTCTATAGGTTTTAGTTTCACTCTCTTTGTGTTTTGGTATATGTTAAACCAACTTATCTTCTATGCTAGGGCTAGCTAGTTTTGGATCAGATATTTTTTAGAAGTTATATTAATTCAGAGGGTGCTGGGAAATACTGGCTAAATAATGCAGCTTTCAGTATAATTTCTGACTAGAAAACTTTGCATTAAAAAATTCTGAGTCACTGTGTCTATTAAGTCCATAGAAGAATACATTGTTTTCTATTTTTGTAGGCATTTCCTGTTTTACTTTTACCTACTCTGTGATGTAGGTTTGACTATTGTTTTGTTGATTCTTGTACTTGGACAAGCCAAAGCTCAGCAAAACCAAGTTCTTTTTCTTCTTCCCCTCCACCCCGCCCTCCCTTGCCCCAAGGTCACTATAAAAAGCAGGAATAAGGTGAATGTTGGCTGCCTCCCAGCTTAATGTTCCATACTTTGGGTGAACTGGATCTTGGAGCACTTTTTCATTTACCTACTCATTTAAGCAATCTAATTCTGAGTCAGGTAAATATGCCTGAGCCAAATTAAAGTGTTTAATATGCTTGCTTTCAGAATAATTTTATTTACAGTGTTTGCTTTCCTGTTTCTCATGCAATACATTGTGTTCTTAGCAGGGCGAAGAAGTGGATTTAAACACTCCTATCTGGTGACTTGGTTCATTTTCTTTGCAGCTGATGATAACATCTGGCAGTATCCAAAGTTCCAATCCCAAGTGAGTCACGTAATGTACAATGTTGCCCTTGTCTGGTTTTCTCTTAACTGGGACTGTCTAATAGGATTTGGGCTAAGGAATTTCCACAAAAGTAATAGTAGAATCTTAGATTTGGAAGGGACCTCTTAGGTCATTCAGTGCATTTCCCACCCAATGCAATAATCTCTTCCATAGCATACCTGCCAGTGGCCATCACGCCTTGTCCCCCAACACTTCCAGGGACAGGGCCCTCACAGTGGACAAGGCAGTTCATTCCACTTTTGAACACTGATGATGAGGGAGCAGAAGGCTATCTGGAAGCAAAGCATAAGCTGACATCCTGCAACATACCCCCACCCCCACTCCTGGGTGGGACATGTGTGACATTCTTCCAGGGATCTCCCAACTATCTTACTGTTAATGCCTTGCTAGAGGGGAAAACAACCTTAACTTGACAATGGCAAGGCCTCCGGTATGTTTTAGGTCCTCTTTAGCATATGAAAATTCTTGGAAACCTCCCTTTTCCCTTACCTCCCCCAACCCCATAGTATGTAATCAGCCACCCCCTCACAACCCCAGGGCAGTAGCTCTTTCTGCCCCCGGGGTCCTGTCCCATGCTTTAATAAACCACCATTTTGCACCAAAGACATTTCAAGCATTCTTTCTTGGTCGTCGGCCTGGACTCAACCCTACCAAACTTCACCTATATTCCAAAACCCATCACTGAATTCCTGGAAAGTTCTCCCTCATGTTGTCATGGTGAACTGAGATTTTGTCTCTGTAATTTCCACCATTGGTCCTCATTTGATCATCAAATGACATATTATGGTCATAAAATTCAAATTGACCGTAACATTTAAATTCTTCTTTCCCACAGTGAAAATGTGAATAGTTCTCATACTGCCTCTGAAGAAGTTGACTTTTTCCAGGTAAACATTTCTTGTTCTTTTAACTGTTCATTCTTTTGTTGCTTACAAAGTTGAGATTCTTTAACTTCCCAGACGCAGGAGACCCAACTCAAAATGGCTCAAATGAAGAAAAAAGTATTCATTTACTCACTGAAAAGTCCAGAGGAAGAGGAGGGTTCTGGCCCAGTCCATACCATTAGAGCTTGGCCTCACTTGCCATCCGTGCCAGTCAGCGTCCCATCAGGAGAAAAAAACCACACAATCATTTGAACAGGGAAAGTTTAAAGAACTATTAACTATAACAGGGGATTGGAATAACAAGGGATTGGCTATCAAGAAGTAAAGAGAATTCTTTTTTTTTTTTTAAGATTTTATTTTTAAGTAATCTCTACACCCAACATAAGGCTCGAACTCACAATCCCAAGATCAAGAGTCACATTCTCCTTCGACTGAGCCAGCCAGGTGCCCCTAGAAGTAAAGAGAATTCTAAAAAATGCAGGAATAGCAAATATAAGGAGCAATATTCCCTTTGGGGCTGGAATAGAGTATCCAAGGAAGAGCCAGCCATTCCCATCCCCTGATCCTAAGCTGAGATCCAGACTGTTGGAAAGGTCACAACTCTATTTCACTGACTGGCAGACAAGTAGCTGCCATGCTGTTTCAGGGGAACTTTCTGGAAATTTGCCCCCTGGAATTTGCTGGATATTCATCTTCTTAGGATGCTGGGGAAAGTGTAGATGCTGACAAAGTGTAACATTATGACAGCTAGTAAAGAAAAAATATTTGGGGGCCCATCTACACTTTTACAGAGCAGACAATAAAAGTTGAATTTGGGGGCTAAGAGACAATAAATCGGTAACTGGCAAACAACCATTATATTCCTTTCCTCTCTTCAGGCTCTGTACACACTCTCGTAGGAGAGGTTCTATCTCCTCCTTTTGGAGACTTCTATCTCCTCCTTTTGGAGGTTTCTATCTCCTTTTGGTGACTCAGTGGGAAGAGAATACTCTCCGAAGTATTATACCAGATTAAGTTTAATCAACCCAAGTTTGTCAATCTTGTATCACGTGTTCATTCCTGCACCAATCACAGTATCCTGGTGGCTCTGTTGCCCTGATGGGCCAGCCCTGAGGTATACTGCCCCTGGAGGCAGGGGTGAGTTCATCTCACCCCTATCAAGTGTACAGAGAAAATTCCAAGTAAAATGAAGTTGGTACCAGAAGGAATGGCTGATAAGCGGGCATAAACCACACTGCTGGCTATTAGGAGCAAAGATCTCAATCAGCCAGTGCCTCTATTTTCTCACCTTTGTAAAGTACAAATAGTAGTAATGCCTATTTGAGTTAGAAGGGATTTTAAAAATGCCACACATTTATTCCTGCCCACATTTAGAAACAATTGAGAAATAAAGTCAAGAGTCAGTAGGATGGAGTATAGCATTTCAGCTTTATTAGGGAGAAAAGTTGATATTGAATGACATTCAGGGGCTGACCCAGTCTCTGGTAGTACTAAACAGCCCACGGGACGCTGCATACTTCCCCATCCCTCAGGCCATATGCATTGGCAATTGTAAAGCTTATGACATAGACCTAGCAGAGTAGACCAAGTCTTGTGTTCTTTGTAGGTAGACAAATCTCAAAGAGGAGAGGAGTGAGCTGATGCAGATATGCACAATTCTTTATTCCAAACTTCCCTCCGCAAATAAGCTATTCTTCCCCTGGGGAAGAATCGGGGGGGGGGGGGGAGGGGGGCAAGAGAATAGGAATGTAATTCTAGTAGAGCCCCATCCACATTCTCTAGCTTGGTTAATTGAGTTAACCGAAGTTTAAGCTACCTATCCTTGGAGCATCAGGCATCTATCAGATCTGGCTCCCTCCTAATGAGGCTCCCTCAGGTCCACCCACTGCTCCTTTGGGTTATTTTCTGGGTACTTGCAGTATTCTAAATTTGAATTAGTTGCAACATCTAAAGAGTGGGTGATATCACATACAAATCTCATTTCAAGTTCTTCGGTGGGAGGATGGAAATCAAGTGACTTAGGACTCTCATTCTCACAATGAAATAATCAGTTAGACCCGAGTAGTGGCTGCTACCTTCAGATGAGGATGCTCTCTCCTTTTTGCCACAGTCCCCACTAATCCCAATTATTATAGCTGGCCACCTCACTCATTTACCTACCTGCCTGGCCAATGTAGGCATTTAAATGCATGCTAGACCCCCATGGTTGGGGCCTTCCCTGCCATTCTGGGTATCCTGTTTCAGCCGGGTGGACACCCATCAGTACTCTTTTAGGTGGGACTAGTCAACACTTACCAAGTAGAGTCTAGAAGGGCCCAGGCAAAGGCTTGTCGATTTCTATAACTCTTAAAAGAATAAAACAACAATAGGCACGTTACCTTTGCAGTTAAGTATGGCTGTGGTGATTATAATGGTATAATTACCATGTAGAAAAGAATTTAGAATGTCCACATTGGCATTCATGAACAGCACGTGACAGCATACACAAAAAAATCCTATGATCTTCCTAGTATTTATACACACACACACACACACACAGAAAGTGGGGAGAAGAGATTTGCTGGTAACTGTCAGGAAACAACTGTCCATGGATCTTTAGTGTTTCTGTATGGCTTGCAAGCACAGTTACTGACCCCCCTTTATTCTAGATCATATCCCTTTTTTTAAAGATTTTATTTATTTATTTATTTATTTATTTGAGAGAGAGAGAGAAAGAGTGCACACAAGCAGGGGGGCAGGGGCAGGGGGCAGAGGGAGAGGGAGAAGCAGATTCCTGGCTGAGCAGGGAACCCGATGTGGGGCTCGATCCCAGGACCCTGGGATCATGACCTGAGCCGAAGGCAGACGCTTAACCGATTGAGCCACCCAGGCACCCCTCTAGATCATATTTCTTAGCCTCATCTAAGAATGTTTATACGGTGAATAGCCTTGGAATATAGTTCAATATAAGAAATAGTGTCTCCCAGCAGAGCAAAGGGCAGCCATGCTTACAGTCCAGGATAATAAAGATAATGTCTCCTCTGGAGCCAAAGGTATTACTACTGCCCATTGTAAAAGATTCACGTTTCCAAAGCTCAGGCTTCCCCTCCTGTAACTCACCCCATTGTGTGTGCAGTTGTCATTGGGTTCTCGTCACATTACCCCAACAGCTATGTTTCTTTATTATGTGACCTTAGTCCCCCCCCCTCCTGGCAAAGTAAATTGGGCCAGTCTGGGCACCTGATTCTGGGACAGCATTGCATTGCCTGGTCAGCACTTACCCTCTGGCCTGGCTGGACAAGATAAGCTGGGCCAATCAGAATTCTCTCTGAGAAAATGAAGTTGCTAGTAACAGGAGAGCAGGAAAGGAAAGGCTGCCTGGAAAGAGTGGACACAAGTTAGAATTGGGGCCATCAACAACAGCAATAGCAAGTCAAATTTTGAGTGGAAGCACGCAGAGAAACAATGTTGTAAGAAACAGAATCAGAGATAGTGTAGCCAAGAGAAAGAGAGAAAAAGTAGCTTTGGTTCCTGATGGCTTCCCAGTTTCAGTTAACAAAGATCTTTATCATAAATGCCCTTTTTCTAAGGACTTCAGTGAGTCTTTATTTCAATCAAGCAAAGGCGCCTGACCAAGACAGCTGGCCATGCCTGTAAGCAGATGTCTAGCTGGGAGACAGTACACTCTTGCTGTCTCGCTAAAGACTCCTCCTCCAAAAAGGGACCGTGAATGTGGGGCAACCTATGGGTGATTCCTCTTAATCACCCATAGGAACCAGAAAGTTGCCTTTAAGAATGTTACTTTAAAAAGGCGAATTTTGGGCGCCTGGGTGGCTCAGTCGTTAAGTGTCTGCCTTCGGCTCAGGTCATGATCCCAGGGTCCCGGGATTGAGCCCCGCATCGGGCTCCCTGCTCCGCAGGAAGCCTGCTTCTCCCTCTCCCACTCCCCCTGCTTGTGTTCCTGCTCTCGCTGTCTCTCTCTCTGTCAAATAAATAAATCTTTAAAAAAATAAAAATAAAAAATAAATAAATAAAATAAAAAGGCGAATTTTGTGGTATGTGAATTATATCTCAATAAAGCTGTTATTTTATTTTTTAAATTTCTTTTTAAAGATTTTATTTCTTGGGGCACCTGGGTAGCTCAGATGGTTAAGCATCTGCCTTCGGCTCAGGTCATGATCCCAGGGTCCTGGGATCGAGCCTCACATCAGGCTCCTGGCTCAGCGGGGAGCCTGCTTCTCCCTCTCCCTCTGCCTCTCTCCCTGCTCATGCTCTCTCTGTCTCTATCTCTGTGTCTCAAATGAATAAATAAAATCTTTAAAAAAAAAAAGATTTTATTTCTTTATTTGACAGAGAGATTAAGAGCACAAGCAGGGGGAGTGGGAGGCAGAGAGAGGGAGAAGCAGATTCCCTGCTGAGCAGGGAGCCCGATGTGGGGCTCGATCCCAGGACCCTGGGATCATGACCCGAGCCGAAGGCAGATAAATGCTTAACCAACTGAGCCACCCAGGCGCCCCAATAAAGCTGTTATTTTAAAGTGGTTTTTTTTTTAAAGAAAGTTAATGTAAATACCAATTATTGAGTTTTCTAAAGTACCAGGGAAGTCATTAAGGACAAATGTGTGGGACAGATTGAGCCTGCCTGAATTTAAGGAACAAGAGGAGCTTGGGAGCGTATAACCACATGCCCTGGGTCATTTGGATTGGTGACCTAAGAGCTTGGACAGTCCCAGTGGAAACCTGAGGGGACCAGGACGGCCCCTGACTGTGGTATTAAATAGTCTGGGCAGCAGGTGTCTAGTTAGATTTATTGGCAAGCCCTCTCACTCAAACGATCTTAACATCCGCTGATGTTTCTCATCCATTAGATGAGATTAACAAAAGAATAGAAGATAACAAATGTTGGTGTGGATGTGGAGAAATTGGAACCCTTGTGCATTGTTGGTGGGAATGTAAACTGGTGCAGCCACTGTAGAGAAACTGCCATACTATTTTCTACAGAAAAGGAAATCCAGTTACACAGAA